GATATTTATATGATCTTACGTTAGAATTCTTCTTTTCATGACTCTTAAGACCATTTTGAGAATATTTTATGCATTATTTCATATTTTCATGTTATGATTATCTATTATTTCAATCTTCATCATTGAATCTTGTAAGTATTTAGATAACTTAGTAATTGCCTGTGAGCATTTCAACCATTAACTCCAATTCCAAAATACTATTAGCCACGAGGGCGTGGTTCCGTTTAAGTGTGAGGAGGTAAGAGTTCCTGGTTGAAATGATCTTTTTAGGAATTGTTTTGTCTATATATTTGTAGGAAAAGATTTTTTATAATTGTCATCAATTTTAATTGTTTGATTCATTACTCTTTAGTTATCACCCGTGGAAATTAGAAATTTTTACAATTTTTGTCAAACTTCTATTTTTACTCTAGCCTTTTGGGAATGTTTTCTAAAATGATTTGGGACAAATTCACAATTGTCTAAGAGTTTTAAAGATCAATCAATTTTAAATGCTGTATTGAAAATCTTTTTGCTGGTGCTTTTAGGAGTATCTGTTGTTTCTTGAAAAGAGTTATTTTTAAGGTATAAGGGGTAATGTTTCAGAGTATACTTTGGTGAGACCGAGATTCTTGTTTTAGCCAAAAAGCAGTTGGTTCTAGGTCAACTGATGAGGCGTGGTGAGTATGCCAAAAAACACGTGGTTCTATATTGCATGATGACGCCTTTTGAGTGTTAGAGTCAAAAAGCATGCGGTTCTATGTCGTGTGATGAGACTTTCCAGAGTGAATATCCAAAAAGCTCGTGGTTCTATGTCACGGGATGAGGTTATAAAGTTTTCTCGCGTCAACATGACAAAGTTATGCCAAAGAAAAATTAAACCCTTACACTTTGACAAATACTTTTGCAAGAGCATGTTTTCCGATTTAGCCAAAAAACAATTATTTGATCTTTAAAGTACTCTTACAAATGTAGTTATCCCAAAGAAAGTTCGGAAAATTATGGTTGTTTAGGTTGGTGTAAAAATATTGGTTTGACAAAATTCTTTTACATTTCTAACAATATGGGGGAGAATCTAAAGGTTCATTTATTCTCAACAAAAAGGTTGATGGCTATCTTATTTCTTCTTTCCTTCATAATATGTAGCTTAAACCTTGCCTCTGCATTTATTAATTTGCCTTCAGACTTGTAATTATTCAATTTGTTGCTTGAGGGCAAGCAACGTTTAAGTGTGAGGAATTTGATAAGTCCGTTTCGTTCTTATGATTTACATCATATTCTAAAACGTTATTGCACGTAAATGATATTTAATCATCTCATAAAATGTGATTTTGATGGATAAAACTCTCATTTTCGTTCTAAGAGTCATAAATAGGGATTCCACATAAAATCATCATAAATTATCAATTTTATGTTCAAATGCTTGAGAAAAAGGGAATAAATCATCAAAGGATCAAGACTCGGGCTTGAACGAGCTTCCAGGAAGATAAAATCGACGTTCGGGCCGAAAATCAGTGAAATTGGGCCAAGATCTCGTAACAGCCGCGAAGCACAACGGACCAAGGCCTCAAGGCGTCCAACTTGGACGCTTGGCCAAGTTGGACGCCTTGGCTGGATTGCAGATCAAGGAAGACACGTGGCAAGCAGCGGATGGACGGGCCGCGTAAGGCGTCCAACCTTGGACGCTTTGGATCCGGACGCTTTGACTTGGATGCCTCGGCCTCTATCCTATAAATATAGCGCGATTCTCCCCATCAACACATCACTTTCATCCTCTCTCTCGGGATTTGAGCTTATTATTACAATTCCAAATACTAGTTTATTATTATAGTAGTTTTAGAGTAATCTTTGGCGGAATTCAACTCCCATTACCTGCCCCCAAGATACCAATGTCCAAAAGTCCGAGCAGGAATCTACAGGCGAGGAAATACTTTGCATAGAAAAGCCAACTCCGTCTATAGAAACCTGTGTACGTAATGCTTCATCTGAAGACTCAGACCAAACCTTCTTTGACTCCCTACTTGACGGGTGTGACGATGTCTGCCCGAAGGATGGTTGGAGCTTAAGGAGTCGGGATGAACTTCTGATGAGTGACACTGAAGACTCTTCCATGGGGGAAAGCATGGTCGTAATCATCAAACCACAAATGGATAGTCAGCCGATTGAAGATAAGGAAGAAATCAATTTCGCAATCAAGGCTAATGATGTGGATCCGCTGAGGAGCCTTCCGCCACCACCCACCCATACAAAGTCTCCTCCATATTTCCTGTTGCCACCAAGCCGCAGGGATGAGTCAAGGATCCTGGACCTTGACTGAGCAACAATTCAAAAGGGTGGCATCAGAAGAGAGTCAAAAGGGCCAAACTTTATGACTCTCGGATCGGAAAGTCGCGGAAAAAGTGGGTGAGCGTCGAGCTACGGACGTTAAAGAAGCGCTTAATTTGAGGCAACCCGTCATTCAAATAACTCTTTGCTTTTGCAGATGAGAGAATTGTAGGGCATACCTTACTGTGGGAGCGAAGAAGAGGTCTCACCTGAGGAAAACACAAGGTTTCTGCAACCTTCGAGGCTTCTTGATCCAACAGTCCTGGTTGAAGTTGGCTACTGAGAGAATATTGACTTCCTCAGTAAAGTCTCTTTTTCTCTACTATTTTGAACATGATTTAGATGCTTGATGATTTTTATTTTGGAATTTCACAACATGACTCTTAAAACCATTTTGAGAATATTTTATGCATTATTTCATATTTTCATGTTATGGTTATCTATTATTTCAATCTTCATCGTTGAATCTTGTAAGTATTGAGATAACTTAGTAATTGCATGTGAGCATTTCAACCATTAACTCTAATTCCAAAATACTTTTAGCCACGAGGGCGTGGTTCCGTTTAAGTGTGAGGAGGTAAGAGTTCCTGGTTGAAATGATCTTTTTAGGAATTGTTTTGTCTATATATTTTTAGGAAAAGATTTTTATAGAATAGTCATCAATTTTAATTGTTTGATTAATTACTCTTTAGTTATCACCCGTGGAAATTGGAAATTTTTAAAATTTTTGTCAAACTTTTATTTTTACTCTAACCTTTTGGGAATGTTTTCTAAAATGATTTGGGATAAATTCAGAATTTATTAAGAGTTTTTTTTAGATCAATTAATTTTTAAGTGCTTTATTGAAAATCTTTTTGCTGATGCTCTTATGAGTATTTGTTGTTTCTTAAAAAGAGTTATTTTCAAAGTATAAGGGGTGATGTTTCAAAGCATACGTTGGTGAGACCGAGATTCTTGTTTTAGCCAAAAAGCAGTTAGTTCTAGGTCAACTGATGAGGCGTGGTGAGTATGCCGAAAAGCACGTGGTTCTATATTACGCGATGAGGCCTTTTGAGTGTTAGAGTCAGAAAGCATGCGGTTCTATGTCGTGTGATGAGACTTTCCAGAGTGAATATCCAAAAAGCTCGTGGTTCTATGTCATGGGATGAGGTTATAAATTTTTCTCGTGTCAACATGACAAAGTTGTGCCAAAGAAAATTAAAACCTTACACTTTGACAAATACTTTTGCAAGAACATGTTTTCCAATTTAGTCATTAAAAAAAATTATTTGATCTTTAAAGTACTCTTACAAATGTAGTTATCCCAAAGAAAGTTTGGAAAATTATGGTTGTTTAGGTTGGTGTAAAAATATTGATTTGACAAAATTCTTTTACATTTCTAACAATATGGGTGAGAATCTAAAGGTTCATTTCTTCTTAAGAAAAAGGTTGATGACTATCTTATTTCGTTTTTCCTTCATAATATGTAGCTTAAACCTTCCCTCTGCAATTATTAATTTGCCTTTATACTTGTAATTATTCAATTTGTTGCTTGAGGGCAAGCAACGTTTAAGTGTGAGAAATTTGATAAGTCCGTTTCGTTCTTATCATTTACATCATATTCTAAACGTTATTGCACGTAAATAGTATTTAATCATCTCATAAAATGTGTTTTCAATGAATAAAACTCTCATTTTTGTTCTAAGAGTCATGAAAAGGGATTCGACATGAAATTATCATAAATCATCCATTTTATGTTCAAATACTTGAGAAAAAGGGAATAAATCATCAAGGGATCAAGATTCGGGCTTGAACGAGCTTCCGGAGGTCAAAAACAGTGTTTGGGACCAAAACGGAGCGAAATTGGGCCAAAATCACGAAACAGCCGCGAAGCCCAACGGACCAAGGCCTCAAGGCGTCCAACTTGGACGCTTGGCCAAGTTGGACGCTTGGGAGTTGGACGCTTTGGCTTAATTGCAGCCCAAGAATGACACATGGCAAAATCTGGTTGGTCGGGACAGCTCAGGCGCTTGGACTTGGACGCTTGGACTTGGATGCCTTGGATTCGTTCCTATAAATATAGCACGATTCTTCTCATTTTGATCATCCATTCTCAACCCAATTTCGGGTTCCCCTCTCTCAATTGCTTAAAATACTTTGTATATTAGTTTTAGTAGTTAGTTTGAAGTATTTTTTGGAGGTTTTGACCTCAGATCTGTTGTGTTCCGCTTTTACGGAGGTTGTAAGTTTTCTTTATTTAATAAAATGCTATTTTACTTTATGTTTGCATAGTATGAGTTAGGGTCCGGATCTCTAGGTCCGAACTAGTGTGGTTGTTTATTTTTTTAATGTTGGAATGGTTAATCTATTGTTCTTGCCTTATTTAGTTAATTAATATCGGAAGATTTAATTAGCTATTTATTGAGAAAATATTGTATGCCAAAAGGCTATGATATTCAAGTACAACGGATTAAGTACAAATCTAGAAATGGATGAGTAGTAATAGAAATATTATTATTCCAATTGTTAATTTAATATGATAAAATAGATCCAGATTGATATATCTCGAACTAGGGGTCTTAACAGAGTTGTGGTTTTTTGGAGAGGAAATGTGATAATATGTTGAAGGCAAGCAAGAGGTGAAATGAATGGAGTGTCAAAGAGTTCTTTTTAATGGTTTTTAATATGAGAAAAGAAAGGAGGATCAGGAGAGAAATGGTGGGATTAGAAATGGCTAGAAATAAGTGTTGGATAAACCAAGTTGGTGTTAAGAGATATTACACACTCTTCTCCTAACTTGGGGTTGAATCTAGTATTCAAATAAGATATAACACACTTATTTAAATAACTAGAACCTAAAACTCACACTTAAGGTAACCACCCTTAAGATAGAATTAGGGGTTTAAAATAGCAAACACATAAGTGTATTACTGATGGAAATTTCAGATTCAAAAAAGTGAGTTACAACAATGGCCAATGGCCGATATAAATAAGCAAGCAAGAAAGGGTGACTGATTTGGGACTTGATTTGGCTCTATATTGATGTGNGTTTGTGGAATGTTTGGGAGTGAATGAGTGTTGGTTTTTGGTGTGTTGTGTTCGGCTAGGGGTGGGAAACTGAGAGGGGTTGATTTGGTCCATGAGTTAATATGGTTTTTGGTTGTTTTTGTGTTGTTTTGATGGGCTGATTTGGGGGGGTTGTATTCGGCCAGGCCATGAGGCAAGTGGGAGGGATTGGCATGTGTTGTTTTGGCATGTGGTGTGGTGGTTTATTTGGTGGTTAAATTGTTAAAGTTGTGCCATGTGTGTTTTGTTAAGTAATGGATGTTTTGTGTCTGGTTTAGGGGACATAGTGGGGGCCTTGTTGGGTGGATGTTTTAAGGGGTAAATGGGTTTGTTTTGGCTTCTTGTTTTCGACCAACTTAAGGGTTATGAAAGGGGTTTTGTTGGGTGTGTTTTAACATGGTCTTGAGGGATGAATGAGGTAGGGTTTTGGGGAAGATGGGTTCGACCAAGATGAAAAGGAGAAGGGGGAGAATGGTTAAGGTTTGGTGTTGTTTCTGGATTGTAGGGATTGAGGAGGATCATGGGTTTAAGGGCCTTCAAAATGGATCATATAGCTTAAACATAGGTCCTCGGCTTCCCCCGGGAGTGTAGGGTATAGGGCGAACCATGATGAGGCTGAGCCCAGATATATCACAGATGATGTCTTGACCCTAGGTCCAGATCTATACTTATACCATGTAAACTTAATTTATTATTTTTACTCTGCTCCCTTTTTTTATAATCGTTCCGAGAATACTTTCATAAACCAATCCTAATCTTCGCCTAGTTAGAGTAATTAAACTGATTCCATTCGTCCACTCCTCGAGAGACACGACACTCGGAGAGAAAACTAACCCTTTATTGGGAAGGTTTACTACCCGAAAAACTACAACTATCAAGTGCTTTCTTGAGTTTGAAGACATGGTCGGGATACTCAAAGTCTTCAAACCCTGGGGGCTGGTCAACATACACTTCCTCTTGAATAAAACCATTGAGGAAGGCACTCTTAACATCCATTTGATAAAGTTTAAAATCCATAGACGAGGCAAAAGCAAGAAGTAAGCGTATAGCTTCTAAACGTGCTACGGGTGCATAAGTTTCTTCAAAATCAATGCCTTCTTCTTGATTGTAGCCTTTAGCTACAAGCCTAGCTTTGTTTCTAGTGATTATCCCATTTTCGTCAGGTTTATTACGAAACACCCATTTCGTACCAATAATCGTACGATCATCAGGCCTTGGCACCAATTCGCAAACGTCATTCCGTTTTAATTGGTTTAGCTCCTCTTGCATAGCCAAGCTCCAATGTTCATCGTTTATTCCCTAAGTGAGTTTCGAGTACTTACCCTGCGGTTGATGCTACCGATTACCTGGTCAAGCAGATGGTTCTTGTTCGTTCACCAGGCGATGGGAAGCTCGGTTTCTTCGTCTTCTTGTTCCTGGGTTTCCTCTTGTTCTTATTTTTCCTCTTGATTTTCTTCACCTTGGTTAGTCACTTGAGGCGTCTCCCCAGTTTGTGGCGGCGTGTTGGTGTATATTTCCGTGTTTTCTTCATCGTCTTCGACGTGAATTCTTTCAAGCGAATCTGCAAAATCATCACAAATACCTTTTCTCGCCAAGCGAGGGTTATCTTCGGAAAATACAACGTGAGGGGACTCCTTAATAGTCAAAGTTTGTTTATTAAAGACTCTATAGGCCTTGCTACGTAATGAGTAACCCAGAAAAATCCCTTCGTCCGACTTGGCATCAAATTTGCCTAAGTTATCTTTGTCGTTGTTATGAATAAAACATTTGCAACCAAAGACTCGAAGATGGGAAAGGTTTGGCTTTCTCCCTTTGTATAGTTCATAAGGCGTTTTCATGAGTATCGTTTGAATGACGGCTCAGTTTAATACGTAGCTCGCAGTACTCACGGTATCCGCCCAAAAATACTAAGAGATTTTTGCCTCATTGATTATAGTTCTAGCCATCTCTTCGAGACATCTATTTTTACGTTCCACCACTCCATTTTGTTGTGGTGTATGTGGGGCTAAGAAATTATGATCAATGCCGAGTTCGTCACACAAATCTGAAAATAGATTTCGTTCGAACTCTCCCCCATGGTCGCTTCTTGTGGCTACTATGGTTGTTTCTTTTTCATTTTGAACTTTCTTTAGAAAATTTTTGAAAACATGAAATGCCTCACTTTTATGAGTAAGAAACAAGGTCCATGTGAACTTAGAGTAGTCATTAACAATTACAAACTCAAAGTCATTACCACCAAAACGTTTCGTTCTAGAAGGACCAAAGAGATCTATGTGCAAAAGTTGAAGCGGTCTAGACGTTGAAACAACGTTCTCTGACTTAAACGAAGCCCACACTTGCTTCCCCTTTTGACATGCATCACATATGGTGTCTTTTTCAAACTTAAGTTTTGGAATGCCAATTACTAAGTCTTGTGAGACCAATTAGTTCAAAAGGTTCATGTTCATATGAGCTACCCTTCGGTGCCATAACCAAGTGTCTTCCTCTTTACTCATGAGGCACTTAGCAAAGCCAGAAGGAGATTTGTCTAAGTTAACCATATATATGTTATCGATTCTATCACCACGTAGAATGACCTTATTGTCTTTGAGGCGTTCTACCGTGCATGATTTTGAATCGAAGGTCACACGGTTTCCCTTGTCGCAAAATCGACTTATGCTCAAGAGATTGTGTTTAAGACCCTTAACTAGCAAGACATTATCTATAGAGGAGTTTTCAGATTTACCTACCGAACCAATGCCGATAATCTTTCCCTTGCTATTATCTCCAAAAATTACGTTTCCTCCTTTGGCGGGTTTAATTTGTAGGAACTTGGATGCATCTCTTGTCATGTGCTTGGAGCATCCGCTATCAAGGTACCAAAGTACACTTGACGCCTTCAAGCACACCTACAAAAATGATTTAATAAGATTTAGGTACCCAAGTCTTTTTGGGTCCTTGAGTGTTAGGTGCAAAGTGGTAGTGTGATTCATTTTGTGTCCAATGCCTATGCCTAGTGAAGCAAACAGGAGCTATATGTCCTACCCTATTGCAGTAATGGCAAACTACGATTGGGTTGTGCATCCTCCTAGGTTGATAATATGTCCTACCCATATTCATCCTATTTTGAGAAAACATTGGTTTTTGAAAATTCTCTCTTCTAGGTGTCCTAGCATTATTTTGTCTATTTGTAAACTTATTTTTGTTCACAAATTCATTTTGATAATTTTTCCTAGGTGATGAGGAATTTTACTTTAACGCAAAACTCCCGTAGTAGTAAAGGGAACAGACTAGATCTTCTAAAAGATCAGTTTATCCCGTGTCGTCTCAAGGATCGGCCCAAGGGAAAGTTAAGCAAGACTAGTTAGACAAGATTTACTCAATGAATCAAAAAGTTTTCAAAAGGTCGAATAAGGAATGGAGATTGAATTTTTATCTTTCAGAAATAAAAGGTAGGGATGTAATTATTGGTTAGGTGATGGTTCTTTTTAGAGTAAAATCACTAGTTACTTAAATCTTTTTACTAGTAAGTAAACATCTTTTCAATTATTTACTTAACAATCTATCCAATGTCTAAAGATCAATTATCAAACTACTAGACTTGACTTAATTAAATTCCAAATTTCTCAAGAAATATAATTTTCAAAAAAAATAGATTTGCTTTCTCTCGATTTACAAATCTCAAGTATAAACTCTCAGTAATAAAAACTAGTAAATTCCCTTTTATAATTCAACTCAATGATTCTCTCAGAAAATTACCATCACCATTCCAATAATCACATCACCAATTAATTTAGCTA